CATGTCAGAATAGTAGCTAGAGGGTGAGGCTAGGAGCCATCCCAGGTTTTAGGCTAGGCATGACTATCGATAGAATTGGAGCAAGGAAAGAGGGGTTTCGCTATAGCAAAGGAAGAACATATAGGCAAGAAACAAGAAAATGAGGTGCACCACCAACAGTTTATGACAATAACTACAGTAACTAAAGCAAGCAAGATATACATGAAATATAACTTTGACAAGTCCACCACGCATGCATGCATGCATGATATATGTCATAAAAGGAAGTTAACTTAGTAGGCATCGGCTTGTGACTTTGGCGTAAGGAGAGACAAGATGACGAGAATGGGTATTGTTGACGATAGGCTCGAAAGATATAAGGCAAGGGTGGGCGTAAAGGTGCACCACCAACAAGGATGTAACAACGGTTTTATATTAGCAAGCCTACAAGCAGTTATATCAACGTATATATTTTATGACACACCCCTTTGACTGCTTGCAGGTCAAAGCTAAACTACGAACGTGAGCACGCGGCTGGCTGGCTGGTTGGCTGGTTAGGACGACAAATGAGAGAGATGAGGAGGATAGAGTTGCACGGCTGAAGGGAGAGTGAGAAGAGGAGGTGTGAAGTATGGGGCGGCCGCCACCCCCTTAGTCTCCCCCCAAAAAGCGGCAGCAGCCGCAGCATATGCGGCAAGTCGCTGCAAGAGCGAGGACGGGGGCGGCAGGATTTGGTGCTCTCACGGCGGCCATAACCACCCACCCCCCCTTCCCCTTTCCCGCAACCCCGTCCCCGCCACCTCCCCCATTAGAGGCCACAGGTGGAGCGAGACGACGAGTGGTGCGGGCAGAGGGCTCACGGCGGCCACCCCTTTACGCCACCCTGCGCGCTGGCTGTGTAGACAGCCGTGTAACCACTCCCCCAATCTCCCCCCTGTTGACGGGAAATGTCTCCACCCTTGCTTGGGCGAAGTCGACTTCGCAGTCGGAGGCGCAGATTTTGACACCGACTGCCCCCAGAAGTCGACGCCGACTACGCGCAGAAGTCAACGCCAACTACTGGCAGAACTCGACGTCGACTGCTCGCAGAACTCGACGCCGACTGCCCGCAGGAGTCGACGCCGACTGCCCGCAGGTGTCGACGCCGACTGCCCGCAGGAGTCGACGCCGACTACTTACAAAAGTCGATGCCGACCTAAGCGGGCAAGTCGACGACATTGTCTGGTCAACGAGGTTCTTTGGTCGAGCAGACCTTGCTCAACGGGATGCGGTCGACATCGCCGGCAGAGGATGCTGGTCGACGAGCCCGTGGAGAGGTACTGGTCGACGAGACCCGTCGAGGAGCATTAGTTGGCGGGCTCTAGTCGACGAGCTCGTCTTGGCGAACGCTGTTCGACGGAGCATCGTCGAGCTGGCCGACGCAAGTTGCTCGACTACGAAATCTGACGCGTGGGCGAATGGTGAAGTTGACCTGCGGAACGGCATCACGTCCTCGATGGTGCACGGCTGGCGAAACCGTCGTCACGTGTTCTACCTAGCACTTGCGCAATGTACCTAGCAACGCGACCGTCTACCTGCACCTACTCGGTAGGTACGCACTTGCGCACAAGTTCACCTACGTCTGAAGTGCTAGCAGATCGACGCAGTGCAACACTGGCAAGTCGCCCCGTTACAGCGTTGGCAAGCCACACTTCAGCTGCGCTGGCAGAGTTCGCCTTGCAGAGGGCTTGCTAGGTGTTGCAATGGAATTCTAGCTATATCGACTTTCATGCCTCATTGTAATCTATTGTTCTTCTCAAATTTCTTTAGTGAAACTCTTGCCAAACTTATCTGTTAACACAGCAAGTAGCGAGAACGCTAGTGCAACGCTACGATCACTCTCACAACCCCGTGCCCTCCTCCGTAGTCCACTCCCGTAATATAGTGACTCTCCGCACCCCCAACCCCGTCACCCCCTCCCCTCCTCCAGCTAATTCCGCGGATGGGGCATGGCAGGACGGCGGCAGGGAGTAGGCAGGTCGTTGGAGGCATTTGCGAGCCGTGGACGGGGTCGCTGGCGGGCGCGATGGTGGGCCATTGTCGGGGTTGCTGGCTGGCCGTTGGCGTGCTCGCTCGCGCGCACGTCACGGGCCACAAGCGAGTTTGCAACGACGGGTGGGGTACGGTCAGAGCGCAACAGGAGCTCAACTGAGCGCGCCATGGCAAAGGCGAACGGAACAAAAAAGGCCATGGATAGGGACCTGCTTTGATACCATGTCATGAAAGGAAGTTAACTTAATAGGCATGGTCTTAGGACTTCAGCGTGACGATTGCTAGTATGGCAAGAAGGGGGAGTGCATTAATGATGGGCTTGAGAAATACAAAACAGAGGTGGATACAAAGGTGCACCACCAACAAGGATGTAACAACTAAACTGCACTAGCTGGCCTACATGCAGCCATATCAATGTATATATAATTAAGAAATCGTGACAATATACTGGCAGCAAAGTTCGGCATACGGTATATTGTTGGCTTGCGATTAGCTTCTTGAGCTGTCTCACAACCGATGAAGGTCCTTAACAAACTCCTCTGGATGCAAGACCAGGTTGTCGGGGTTGGTAAATGTCGGATTTGTCGGGTTCATTCCATAATTCAGGAAGTAGGGCAAGTGACCACTCGTAGACGGGGGTGTATTGTTGTATCCAAACTCGGTATGGTTGCTTCTTTGTTTCGGGCAGCTTCGATGCATTTGGTACGGATAAACCGTTCTATCATCTGGTTTATGTAGTCACACTGATCGTTGGTTTGAGGGTGGTAGGTGGAGAAAAATAAAACTTGAGAGCCGCGCCATGCTACGTCTACGTCTCCTTTCAATTTTTCGAATCGAAACTGGGTTATCTTTGCCAATGACGGCATACTCTTTCCGAGGCAAATAAGAATACGAAGAGTGAGATGGTTGTCAGAAGTGATAGTTGTGTGAAATGTCAGAAGACTAAGCGAAAATGATGCATTGAGCAGAAATGTGGGTACAAGTACTAACCCTAATTTGGGTTGTACCCCTTATGGGCTACCCCACTACAGCCTACACAGCACAAACATCATTACAGTTTGACACACCCCCATAGGCAAAGTGGGGGGGAACTAGTAGTCATAAGACCAGTCCAGGAAGGCAAAGTAAGCTCAAGGTGGATCACGAAGTCACCACACATTCTGAGCACAAGCAAATGGCCACAAGGCCAGTTCACAAGCAGAGTTATATAAAGGAGAATAAACAGTACAGTGATCACTACCTAGCAAGTGTAAGCATGCAGGTATATATATAGATCACAGCACAAGGAAAGTCATGCAGTGAGCAAGTGAGATGAAGCAGGCAGAAGGCCTAAAGCAGTACAGAGACGCTGATGATCACCAGGCGGAAGTGTCTTGGTGAATATATCAGCAGTGTTGGCCCGAGTGGCCACGTAAGCAAGACGAAGCTGACCACGCTGCTGCAGCTCTCGAGCAAGGAAGTAACGAAGAGCGATGTGCTTCGTTCTGTGCTCCAGTCTGTGCTCCTGGCACAAGGCAATAGCGGCCTTGTTGTCTACGTACAGAACCGTAGGAGAACGAGGCCGCTCTCCCAAGTCGGTCAGCAGGTAGGTGAGCAAGCGCAACTGTTGGGCAGATTGTGCTACAGTATTTTTGTACGTCTGTCAACAATGACAAGAACAACGTCCTTCGGTGCCCTATTTAAATTATGTAATTGATTCCATTGTCACGTGCTGCCACGGTCGCGCGGGTGGCTTGAATGGTCGCAGTAGCCCAGCCGTCAAGCTAGCGCAATCCCTCGGCATACCCTGGAAGTCACAACGGGCGTTGCATGTCGAAAGAAAAGTATAGCTGGTAGTAACATAGATGTCTGGATAAAGTAGAGCCATGGTGTCAGAAGACCTACACTAGGGATCCCCTACTGACCCTAGGAAAAGAGTTACAGGTTTACAGCCTGGGGGTTTATGGGCGCACTCACCCGCTATTTGATAAACCCTTTTATCACAATGGCCTAGTCGCTGAGATTTTGACATAGTATCAGAGCGAAGTTTTCGTGTTCGAATCCCCATGTGCGCACATCTTGGTGCCCATGTGTCGCTACTGCTGTGCCGTATCCTAGGGCATCCAAGTGAAGGGGGGTGTTAGAAGACCTACAGTAGGGATCGTTGATTGACCATAAGGAAGGGTTACATGTTCATAGCATGGGGGGTTACCGGCGCACTCACTTGCTACTTAAAAATCCCTTCTATCCCAGTGGTGTTGTGGTTGGGATTTAGACACGTGGACCTCGTGGATCACTACTGAATGGGCTGATATTACACTAGTGAGAAAAAAGATGTGTAAATCGGCGGTTAATCGTATGACAAATTCAGTACATGTGAATTTTAGGGCACGCTATTTTACACCACAATTGACATATTCTAACCAAGAAAATTAGGTAGTTTTTCATGGCAATGTCTACATTATCATGGAACACATAGCAGTGATAAATGCTCACATCCATACTCATTTGTTTCCATGTAGAGAAACGATGCAGCTTTTGAAGTGGACGCATGATTGCCACATGCAGCTCATGCAATCTCTGCTCCGCAAGTTCTGAAAGCCACATACGTTCGATGTGCGCGACTCGGACGCTCACACATAATTTCCCCGTCCATGCTGCCGTACGCGCTAATAGCTGCTCCGGGAAAAGGCTCACCTGCAACCGTCGCTCTCTCCCATCCAACCAACTGTCGCCATGTCGACTCGAAGTGGGTAGGGCGGAACTTAATTTTGTCGCGCAGGAGTCTATTAGCCGGTGAAGGCGTTGGCTGTAAAGGCTTCTCTGGGGGAGGTAAATTCAATGCTCATGCTTGCAGTGGTGGCTGTACCGCCGGTAACACCGGCGGGAACCACGGCGGGAACAGCCAGAGCGCGAGCACCGGCCAAATCCACCGTGTCACTCCAGGATTGGTCGGCCTGTTCGAGACGGGAAGCAGGGGATTTTCTCATGTAGCTGCGGCGCCGCCGCTTATGCCCGAGGCGCGAAAGAACGGCGAGTTCTGGGGCGCTACGCGGGAGGAGGAGGACGCGGCTCGCACGATAGGTTTGACAGACTCGGAAACGGGTAGGGACAGGACTAAGTTAGACACGTCTTTAAAACGGGATGCTCCTATACGCGCAGCGGAGGAGGCTGTTTTGGCGATAGACGTGGGCACGGGCGGGTCCAAGGCGGCGGTGGTGACGTGGCATGGTGCTGTCGTGGCTTCTGCGTTCTGGCCGCACGCTCCGCCACGTGGCGCGGATGATGACGTGGCGCAGGCACGGCAGACGGCGGAGCAGGAGCCGTCTGATTGGTGGAGAGCGGCGACGGGCGCAGCTGGGGAGTGCCTGGCGCAACTGGATGGGCGGAAGGGTGGGAGCAGCACCAAGGGGCGGAGGGGGTACTTGGATGGGCGGAAGGGGAGCATGGATGAGCGGAAAAGGGGGAGCAGCGAGGGTGGGGAAGGGGAGTGGGGCGGAGTGAGTGGAGATGGGTTGAGTGCGGTGAGGGTGGTTGGTGTTGCGGTGACTGGTCAGATGCAAGACGTCATCCTGCTTCCCCACGTAAGTACCACCTTCCCGGGATAGTACCTTCCAAGGTACAACCTTCCCAGGTACCACCTTCCCAGGTACCACCTTCCCAGGATACCACCTTTCCAGGATACCACCTTCCTCAAATATTACCTCCCAGCCTTAGAACAACACCTGCTTTGGTCTTCCGCCCTCCAGTAAACTCTACTACTCCACCCCTCCTCCTCCCCCCCTCCCCCCCCCCTTTCCAACCCCCCATCGTTCACTGTGCTGTCCGCTTCAACGTGTCCACGTGTCCCTCCAGGACTGGTCGGCTACCAGCTGCACTGCCGTTCCCCCTGCCATTCTGTACTGCGATGCGCGTGCCACTGCGGAGGCCAAAGAGGTGAGGGGGGGGAGGGGTTGGGGGGATGCGGGGTGGGGGGGACTTAGGAGGGGGGGAGGGTGGTAGTTGAGGAGAATAATCTTTGGAGCTACAGATTGAGGCTGTGCCTGTGCCTGTGTCTCTGCCTATGCCTGTGGCTGAGGCTGTTCCTGTAGCTGTGGCTGTAATTGGGGCTGGGACTGGGCCTGTGGCTGTCTCTCTAGCTGGGGTATCGGCCTCGTGGAACATTCAGTGCCATATTTCTTTGGAGGTACAGGTTGAAGTTGTGCCTGTCCCTGTCCCTATCCTTGTCCCTATCCGTGCCTGAGGCACTGGCACAGCAGGCATAGGCACAGCAGGCACAGGCACACGGATATTACCTGTGCCTGCGCCTGCTGTGCATGTGCCTGCTGTGCCAGTGCCTCAGGCACGGATAGGGACAAGGATAGGGACAGGGACAGGCACAACTTCAACCTGTACCTCCAAAGAATTATGGCACTGAATGTTTCACGAGGCCGATACCCAGCCAGAGAGACAGCCACAGGCCCAGTCCCAGCCCCAATCACAGCCACAGCTACAGGAACAGCCTCAGCCACAAGCACAGGCACAGCCTCAATTTATGCGCATGCCACTGTGGTGACCAAACATGTGAGAGGGGTGCTCTGATGCCCATGCTTTGATGCCTGTGCTCTGATGCCTGTGCTCTGATGCCCGTGCCACTGTGGTGACCAGAGAGGTGAGAGGGGTGAGTGGGTGAGAGAGATGGGTGATCAAGCTTCACATGCCATTCTGTATTCTGTTTTTCATGCCACTGTGTGCATGTGCATGTGTATGTGTATGTGTATGTGCATGTGCATTTGCATGTGTGTGTGTGTGTGTTTAATTGAATACAGATGGCATCGCTAGCAGGAGGCGAGGAAGCGATCATTACAGCCACCGGGATGAGACAAGGCCCCACCAGGTGGGCGGCACACATGGCGCCAGGTGGGCGGCACACATGACACCAGGTGGGCGGCACACATAGCACCAGGTGGGCGGCACACATGGCACCAGGTGAGCGGCACATGCCAATGCACAGAGGCGGCGGCACCAATCAATCTGCATGCAAGCAGATGTAGGAGGACAACGCCTGACCTTCACCCGTCAGTGTTTTGGGACGCCTTAAAACATCTGTATGCTAGCAGATGTACGTCTTGCATCCACACCTCACCTTGACCCATCAGTCTTGCAGCATGCGTGCACGTCTTGCAGCCACGCCTGACCATAACGCATCAACATGTTCAAAGATACGATTTTCAAAACATCAACTTTTGAGGCATCTCAAAAAGCATCCACATATTGCTTTCACGCCTGACCCTTCATCCAGCAGCATGGTAAAAAATGTTATGTGTAAGGCGCCTCACAATTAGCATGGCCAAATATACGAGTTTCACAACATCCCCTTCCTCCTCAATGGTCTTCTCTCCCTTTACCCCGCCTGGATGCTAAATCTCCACCCATCTCTCCCTCCCACCGATCTTCTCTGCCCCCTCCGCACAGCGTGTTGGCGAAGCTGCTTTGGCTGCAGCGGCACCGGCCACATGCGCTGAAGGAAGCTTCCTCGCTGCTCCTAGGCGCGTGCGTGCATCTGAGTTTGAATTCGGCAATATTGAGCGCAGCACCCTTTCCATGCAAGCCTTTCCGTAAAGGCGTTGCACGGGATTTATTGCACGGAGAGTATAGAGAGGAATGAGGTATGCCCAGGTGTATTTTGAGTCGACTCAAAATACACTTGAGCGCAGCACCCTTTCCATGCAAACCTTTCCGTGAAGGCGTTGCACGGGATTTATTGCACGGAGAGTATAGAGTCTTCACGCAGGCCTCAATGTTTGATGCCTGCATCGTCTTGAAAGGTTGCACCCTGTGAGACAGCATTGGCCCTTGCACAGAAAGGAATGAGGTATGCCCTGAAGACAGCATTCAGGGCCCTTCATTCCTTCATTCAGGGTATGCCCTGAATGCTGTCTTCCTGTTTTGAGGCGCCTTTGCTAAACCTTCTCCTTAGAAACTGCTGCTCGCTGGGATGTCTGAACACAGCATTGACCCTTGCACAGAAAGGAATGAGGTATGCCCTGAATGCTGTCTTCCTGAATGCTGTCTTCCTGAATGCTGTCTTCCTGAATGCTGTCTTCCTGAATGCTGTCTTCCTGAATGCTGTCTTCCTGAATGCTGTCTTCCTGAATGCTGTCTTCCTGAATGCTGTCTTCCTGAATGCTGTCTTCCTGAATGCTGTCTTCCTGAATGCTGTCTTCCTGAAAGCTGTCTTCCTGAATGCTGTCTTCCTGAATGCTTTGAAACTGTGTCAACACTTTGAAAAATTCACAGCCTCTTCTCTCAAATGGTCCTCACAATGATTGTTCAAAGGTAGTACATGCCGAGGGATGGAAACTGAGAGCACGAACGTATAATTAACAGGGCAGTGCATTAGGGGCCCTTAAATAGGCTCAGAGGCAGGCAGGGGGCAGAGGGCAGAAGCAGAAGGCTGAGTGCTAACCCCGTGATAAAAGATTTGTTTTGAGACGTCTCAAAACAAATAGGCTCAGAGGCAGGCAGGGGGCAGAGGGCAGAACCAGAGGGCTGAGTGCTAACCCCTTCTCTCTCGCTCTCCCTCTCCCTGCTCCTCCCTCCACCCTCGTTCCCGTCCTTCCCTCCGCCCACCCCCACACGGCTCTCTTCCCCACCCTTCTTCTTCCCCCCCCGGCTGCTTGCCGTCCCAGCCATGCCTACGTGTGCAGCCACCTTATTGGTCGGCCCGTCCGAGTTGTGGATTGCACCACCCTCTCCACCACGGGCCTTGCCACGTGTCCATCCACCTCTGGTATGTTGCCACGTGTCCATCCACCTCTGGTATGTTGCCACGTGTCCCCGCGCCAATGAGGTGCTGCCATGCGTCAGTGGGCAGTCTTTGCAGTACCTTGCTTGCCAATGGTGCTGTCGAGCGAGGTACTGCATTGGCAGCACGTCATTGGCAGCACGTCATTGGCAGCACGTCATTGCATGAAAATGTCTCTAACCCTTCTGACATTTCTCAAGAGTATCTCTCCATGAAAATGTCCCTTTTGACATTTCTCAAGAGTATCTCTCCATCTCTATTTTTGAGGCGCCTCAAAATTTAAATCACTTTTGAGAACTTCCAAGAGTGTCTGTCCATCCCTAACTGCTGTCGCTGTTCCCCGTCCTCCCTTCTCCTCCAGGCATCTCATACGCTGCTGACCTGCTGCACTCACTCGGCCTCTCCCATTGGCTGCCTCTTCTCCCTGAGATCTGGCCGCCCACCCACCCGTGCGGTCAGTTTGCTACCCACCCAGTGGTCAGTTTGCCGCCCACTTTTGTGCTGTTGTCGTCATTCAACAATTCCTTGAGCGATACGAGCATCAAATATTCAAAATCCTGTGTTGAAACGAGACATCTCAATACGAGCGTCGGATCTCCAATCTCTCCTTCCGAGACATCTCAAATCTTGGAAGGAAATCTTGGAAGGCGTATAAGACAAATGCTGAAGTCCTTTGTCGACCTGTCTTCTTCAACAGGCACCTTATCCGTGGAAGCTGCAGAGCGAATGGGAGCACGCCACCTGGCGGGCATCCCTGTGTTTCACTCGTGCGGAGACCTGGGAGCTTCTGCTGTGGGGTAAGTAGTATCTATGGGTATCTCACGCTTATGTGATTGGTACTTGTTTCGCTAATCAGTCCGAGTCTTAATTTCGCAGACTTTATTGAGTTGACTGTTGACACCTCACATCCTTTTCCACTCCCCCCTTTCCGCCCTCTCCCATTCCCTCTTCCAATCACTACCCCGACAGGTGTGGATCAGGCATACCTGGCGCGGAGTACATCTATCTCGGCACCTCAGGGTGAGTCCTCACTCACTGCAGAAGAGATTTAGGAGTGCACTCGGATCAGAGGCACTCAGGAGTCTGATGAGCACTCGGTATTGCTTTGTTCTCTCACATACAGTCTGATGAGCCCTCACTCACTCACTCACTCACTCACTCACATACATTTAGTTGGGAATGATATTTCCTTGTTTACTTGATCCCTACCTAGCCTAGCCACCTACGAAATAGCGAATAGTGAATATCAGGACGAGCTTAGTACCGGTAGATTTGGTTCAATAGATCATTCTGAATCTCTTAGAAGGCTTGCAGCGGTTTAACCAATTGACTTTAACCAATCGATTTTACCCGATCGATTTTAACCAATCGATTTTAACTGTAAATATCAGGACGAGCTTGGTCTGGGCCAAATCTATGTTTTTCTGTATTGGTTTGTTCTCTCAAATACAGCCTGATGAGCCCTCACTCACAGCAAGAGAAACTCCCGGATGAGTCCTCGGTCAGGTGTTGCTTTGAGAAAAGACGCGAGATTTCTCAGCTTTGAAACTCACGTCTTCTCCCAATGCAACTCCTCCTTCTGGCCATCCAAATCCTGTTGCTTCAGCATTTCTCCTGGTTTGCTGCTACCCCCCTAGATCTGGTCTGTTGCCTCCTATCACTCTCTCTCCCCACTCTCTCCCATTCTCAACTCCTTCTCAACACATCAGGTGGTTGGTAGGGTCCTTTCCCCTGCACCCACCCTGTTTTTGTATTGACTCCAAAGCCTTTTCCCTCTCCTTCCTCTCTCTCCCGTGCTCCTCCCCCACTCTCTCCCATTCTCAACTCATTCTCAACTCATTCTCAACTCCTTCTCAACTCCTTCTCAACTCCTTCTCAACACATCAGGTGGGTGGCAGGGTCCTTTCCCCTGCAACCACCCTTCCAACCAGCAACACAGCCACCCATCTACCCACCCAACCAGCCGTCCGCACAACTCCCTTCCGGTCAACCGCCGTCGTGGTCTCAGGGCGTGTTCACCCTCGCTCACCCTGACCCCTCACTGGTCTTCAGAACAGGTACACGCCTTAAGAGGCAGATGAAATTCCCAAACCCACTCTGGTCAGTCCCACAGGTGGGTGGGATGGAGTGTGACTGCCACGTATGCCGCAACGAATAATAATAATAGTAATAATAATAATAATAATAATAATAATAATAATAATAATAATAATAATAATAATAATAATAATAATAATAATAATAATAATAATAATAATAATAATAATAATAATAATAATAGTAATAATAATAATAATAATAATAATAAAAATAATAATAATACAAAATACTTTTTTTTTTTTCCTAAGGTGGGGTGATGGAAGGATGAGTGAGCTCTTGTGTGTGCGCAAGTGTTTCCTGATGTTTGCAAAACGTTCCCACAACAATGCCAATAACGTGTTATTGCACGCAATGCCACGGGCTACATCCCCCAAGGCAGCCGTCGTACCCTTGACTTGTCCCCCAACATTGCCCACGTGCCAACATCGCCCCTACCCTTGTGCATCCCCCCACCAGCGCCAATAATGACTGCAGGGGGGAATCTGAAATGGGCTATTAGCAACCTCCTCAACAGCAGTGGCAGCAGCAGCACTGGCAAGTCTTTATCTGCTGTAATGCTGATATGTGAGTGTGTGAGTGTCGGTTCTTTCGTGTATGTATGGGCATGCTTGTGTGTGTGCATGCATATATGTTTCTCTGTGTGACCGCATGAACCATTGTGAATCAGGTTCCTATTGCATCCCATCCCCCAATCGCCTCCACCTTTCCCTCTCCAACCAGACATCTCCGAATCCGCATTCCACAACGCTGACGTGGCAGCAGCATCCGTGCCAGCTGGCAGCGGTGGCCTCCTCTACCTCCCGTTCCTAAACGGTGATTCACAGCCACATCGTCATCGTCTTCCAACGCACCTTAAACCCGGAACTCTAAACCACCAAACCCTAACCGTTCTGTACTTAAACATCATCCTCTCGGAACATTTTTCAAAATTCTCAAAAGTGGCTTCCACATCATCCTCTCGAAACACATTATCTTCTCAAGCCTTAGCATCCTCTCAAACCACTTTATCGCCTCAAGAATACAACCTTATTCATTGCAGCTCGTGTGTGCTATGAGCTGTGCTGTTCAAGAGTTCCTGCACATTTACTCACTTTCCATGCCAGGCCATCTCATCCCGTGCCATGCCGTGCCATGCCATGCCATGCCATGCCGTGCCATGCCGTGCCATGCCATGCCGTGCCATGCCATGCCATGCCATGCCGTGCCGTGCCGTGCCGCGCCGCGCCGCGCCGTGCCATGCTGTGCCGCGCCGCGCCATGCCATGCCATGCCATTCTGTGATGTAATTTCAGGCGAGCGGTGTCCATTCGAGGACCCCAACATGCCGGCGGCATTTATCGGCATATCTGCCTCTACCACTCAAGCACACATGATACGTGCGGTACGTGCGTAGTATGCTCCATGGTATGGTACGGTATGTGCATAGCATGCCCTAGAGTATGGCCATGGACATAATAGGCTCTCCTCTTGGCCTATATGGTGCACTGCTCATCCCAGCACCTCCACTACACCCTTCCCCTCCCGCTCATTCCCTCTGGTCCAAGAGGGAGTGGCATATGCGCTGCTCTCAGCCCACATCCCTGCATCCTCACATCGCCATTGCTCATCCCTGCACCTCCTGCTGCCTTCCCTCCACCACGCATTTCCGCAGGTCCAAGAAGGGGTGGCATACGCGCTGCTGTCAGCCCACACCCTCATGGGTCACATGCCGAATCTCTTGTCAATGCCATCCCTCATTCCTGTCCCTCCTACTCGCCGCGTCTCTCACTACTTATCCCCGCAGGTCCAAGAAGGGGTGGCATACGCGCTGCTGTCAGCCCACATCGCCATGCACACACACAGTGGAGGAAAGGAAAGAAGCAACCCTTCTGCCCTGCGCATTGTTGGCGGCGGTGCTCGGTACGTCCATGCAACGTTGTTACTGCTCCTTATTTCTGTCACTTGAGGCGTCTCAAGTTCATCGCCATGCACGCACACAGTGGAGGCAACGGAAGAAGCACCCGCAACCCTTCCGCCCTGCGCTTTGTCGGTGGTGGCGTCCGGAACTATGATGGATTTGACGCGCTCAGCGTTTTGACTCTGAGTCAAAACGCTAGCGTTTTGACGCTATTGACGCCCCCTGTCCCAGGGGTACCCCCCAGTTTGACGCTCTGGCGGGCAGGCAAAAAAGGATCCCGGGCAGGGGTAAAAAAAACTGGGAACAGGGGGGTTAGTGAGAGAGGTTGGGGGGGTGGTGGGGCCAGAGTTGTAGGACTTGTGTGGCAGTCACGAATGGGGTTTCCAAAGGAGAATAGTGGTGAAGTACTAGCGGATGGGTTGGGTTGAGTAGTTTCATAGGGGTGGAGGGTGGTTTGGATGTTGGTTGGGGCCTGCCTTGGGGCCTCAAAATGTCGACTTCAATTTGGCGGGTCGCGTTTTGAGCGCGGAATTTCGATTTGGATTTTTTTTTTTCGAAATCGGGCTGCCCGGAAAAATTTACCAGTAGAGTCAAGCGTCAAAACGGATTGACGCGTCAAGGGTCAAAACGCCACGTTTTGACCCTTGACGTTTTCAGTTTTTGGAGTCAAATCCATCATAGGTCCGGAATGCCCATGAAACGGTTTACTGTTCCCTTTTTCTGTCATTTTGAGTCGTCTCATGATCACTGCCATGCCTTTTGAGGCGCCTCAAAAGTTGTTCCTTGTTTCTGTCATTTGAGGCATCTCATGATCACTGCCATGCATGCACACAGTGGTGGCATTGGATGCAGCAGCCCCTCCTATGCTCTGCGCATTGTTGGTGGTGGCGCTCGGTATGTCCATTAAATGTTGTCACCAATCCTTATTCCCATCTTCGTGTTATCATTCCATGCAATTGCAACTGCAAGTGTTGGTGTGTGTGTGTGTGTGTGTGCGCGCGCGTGCATGATTCCTTCTCTCTTTTTTACTCTTTGTGGCTACTCAGATGCCATCTGCTTTTACTTGCTCATTTTCTCACTGTTGCTTTTACTATTTTTACAGTTGTTTATGCCCCATATATTCTTTATGTCTACCTCTGTACTATTGTCTCGTTTGTCTCGTTTGTTCATGTGTCTATGTTTCCTCTCGTCTTTGCGATGCCTTGGAAAAAACCTCTGCTGGTCTCCTCTTCTCTGCCTCAATCCTTCTGGATACTTTCCTTCCGTGGCCTCCCCCCACTCTCTCCCCACTCTCTCCCCACTCTCTCCCCAACTCGACAACTGGGGGTCTCATTATGCCATCCGTTTTCAACCGGGGGTGATTTTTTAGTCACTAAAAATGCATCTTTCCTTCCTCCCCCTCCTCTTCCTCCCGTCCCCACGCTCTCCCCAGCTCGACAACTTGGGTTCGCATCATGGCATCGGTGTTCAACCGGCCAATCGACTGCCTCTCTGATTCTCAGGTGGAGTTATCACAATCCAATAAACTGGTGCCACGTCGTTCTCAAAGCGCCTCGAAACCACCAAGGACATTCGAGGCGTCTCATACCGCATCTTGCGAGAACGTTCGAGGCGTCTGTACAGTACCGTGGTGTTTCATGGGCACGCAAACTTGCTAAAGCATGTGGTGGTCGATTGTAGGGCACCTCATGCATTTTTTTGCTTGTTGCAGTAACTTGAGTCACTCAAAAGCCATGTGGTTGTCCGTTGCGAATGCATTTTGTGCATTGCTCTATTTGTTCCAGGAAGTAGGGGTGAAAGGTGCTGCCATTCTTGCTGCCCAAGGTTTGGGGTGGTTCTCTTCCTTGACACCTTTGCACGGTAATAAGTATTTTCCAGCATTTCCATTGCTTTAGTAAGGGAGGGTTTTGTATATTCTTCATGCAGAACTGACACGGATGGGGCGTTTGTGTGCAGGTGAATGGACACGTATAGAACGGTCAGAAGTCCCTGACCATGCTGATTCAACCATCTACAACAAAATGTTTCATGCATATTGTAATGGTGTGTATGCTTTGGCACAATGCTACAACATTACAAGTAATGTATCACAAGAAGTATGATTTCACTCCACATTTCACTTTAATAATTGTTATTCCGATGTCTCCAAATAGGGTGTTGGTTCACCTTTACTCTCTACTTCAGATCTTGTTAGAAAGTAATTTGATTTTCGTTATTGGTGTATCTTCTCCGAGCAGTTTCACCAAACTGTAGCAAACTCGATACAATTTCAGTCACCCTGCTGCTCCCTCGGGAACAAGGTTCCACCAGTTCACGCAAACCCGATGGTGGAGCTACAGTGCCTTCTATGACTGACAGTGGTTCAAGCGCATAACCAAACCATGCACTTTCCCGCGCAATTTTACGAACCGCAAGGGGCGCCGCCGAGGCACCTCGCGAACTTGAGAGTCCCGAAAACACATTAGCCAATCGCTGCATGGAATGCTTTAAGGTTTGCGCCAACCGCAGAATTTTTACCATCACCGACAAAGAGGCGGCTCGTCCGTCCGTTGTGAAACACGCGACTCCATCCTGCTCCTGCCCAACTTCCGGCAGCAATCACACCCTACTGCCCCTGCGACTGGTCACAGGTCTCTCCTATCCCTCCCCTCGACCCCCTGCGATAGCCCCGAAGATGTCCATTTTCGTGCCGTTCCTTCCAGCGCTTATCAGTATTTTGGTTTCATTTCGATATCCTGATCCCGCACCCAAAGTCCCCTCCCAACCTGACTCCCCTCTACATGTTTAGAAAGATTGTTTTCCCACATAACTAGGCGAAAAGCGCGCTTGCAGCAGTCCAAACAAGACCAACTCCTTTCCGTGTAGGGGGGAACGGCGAGCAGAGTGGCAACGAGACGAATAACCTGCCACAGCGAGGGAAGTTTCCGTAATTTTCTGCTACCGTCAGCAGCACAACATCTCCAATCAGTCCGCATAACACGCAGAAACCGAGATCTCAGCAGTGTTTCCGCGAGTGTTGCCATCAGTTGCAGCAACTCTGTTATGCTCCCCACCCATCACGCCATCCTAGCAGCACCCATTACTGTACCACGCGCGTCATAAACTCTCCTCCACGTTTGTCCATCTCCTGTCTCGTGCCCCTCATCGCGCCATTTACCGTCGGAGCTCAACCACCATTTCCAGCAGCAACCTTAGCTGCTGTGGTGTAACCTTCTCCGTGTGATCCGCACAATACTTATCGCAGTTTCCCGTATAGGAGGTAGCGACCGCCGCTTATTACTCGAAGGCACATAGTGTGCTAAACATCTTCGCCTCAGTGAGCTAGAATCGCGGAGCTACTCAAGCCTCGGCCCATGGCGGCTGCATTTGATTGAAACAGTGGAGCAAGGATAGTAGGCAGTTCTGTCCCTCTAGTTAAAAGAAGCTCCTTGCGTCGTCTAATAACAAAGAAGCTCCCGCGGTGTCGCTTTTAGGACTGTACCTGTAACGATGCCGTCCTTAGGACTGTCGACGAGAGACTTCATGAGCTTTCAACTTGTAAGAAACTAGAGTCTCGTACGGCTAGCTAGCCACCAGTTTACAGAATAGCTTCGCAATTGAGTAAGCAAACGCTAACTGCGACCGCCTTAGCAAACGAAAACCATGGCGTCGACTCGTAAACACGATCCTCGCCCTCCGGACGCGGACCATCCTCGCCGTCTCCCGAGTCCTCGCCGTCTTCCCAGCCCCAACCGCCTACCTAGCCGACACATAGCCAACACGAAGTCCTCCGATTCTCTGGGAATAGCGCCGCTTCGCTCGCCCGGTGCGCACGTCCCCGCTCTGTGCAATGTGCAGCCGCCATTGATTCAGAAATCTCGATCCATGACGTGGCAGGATTCTGTTCCTGGTCCGCGGCCGCAATCACCGGCGGAAAAGCCGCTCTCGCCTAACGCGAAGGCTCCCACGCCGACTAGCTGGCACCGGCCGTCACGGAGCTTTCGCAACAGCATAGCAGGCGGCGGCAGCGGCGGGGATCGGTTGGCGCCGTCCAGCGCGATTCTCGCTGCTGGCCGGTCCGCAACCGCCGCGATTGCCGCTGCCACGTCATCCCCGTCAGCCAATGAGCTGTTTGCGCGAGGAAACAGCGTTACCGGAGCCAGGAGGAGCGGCGGAGGAAGTGGGGAGATAATCCGCCCTCCGTCACCCTCTCCCGGTGAAGCATCGTCCCCGTCAGGTTTCCGTCTGTCCAGCATAGTTCCAAACCCGTTCCGTAGACGGAACAAAGAGAACTTTGCGTCAGCAGCCGTATATGACGTCAATATGATTGAGCCGGAGGGGAGCGAATCCTCCGCAAGTGGCGGTAACTACGCGATCGCTCCTTCCTGCACACGCGGAAGGTTCAGCCCGCGCCGCAGCAGGCCGAGCCCGAGCCGCGAGCGGAGGAAAAGCAGCGACGGGAAAGGCCTCGGGATTTTCGGGAGTGACGGGAGAGGATCCGTGTCGCGTTCCAACAGCAAAGAAGCGCGCGATCTGCTTGCTGAGCTGGATGCTTGCGCGACGACCATGACACCTGCTGCAGACGCGGCAGCAGCAGCGTCATCGTCGGCGGGGATCGGCGCGCAGTCGCTCGCACTTGTGCCTGCGCGTGCGCGTGGCGGAAGCGGGGGGAACTGGGGGGAGCTGATGGCGGGGAGGAGGGCGGAGGAAGCGGCGGCAGTGGCAGCGACGGCGGGGGAAGAAAACGCGGAAGTGGTGATGGGTATTCTGTGGAAGTGGGTGAACCTGGGGCGAGGCTGGGGCATGCGGCTGTTCGTTCTGGAAGGGGTAAGTCGGTTTTGTGTCTGCCCTCCTGCACGGCCTACGCGAGTGAGAATTCTCAAAAATGGACAGCCGTACGCGTTGTCGGTTTTCTTTCCCGGCAGTACGGCCGTTGTTTGACAAAATCAGACAGACCCCGTCGCACAACGGTTTTTCTTGGAAAATGTCGAAGCATTTTCGAGTACGTTCAAAGAGTGGCAACATTCCCACCCCGAGACCTAGTTATTTCCCTGTGTTATTGTTCGGCAATGCCGAGGTGGGAACCGGATGATTCCCAGTGGCACTCTGCGGCAAAGCCAAGGTGAGAACCAAAGAATTCTCGGTGTAAGTATGCGAGGTACCAAGGTCGCACCCACCTCAGTGTGATCATGCGGCAATACCAAGCCGGGACCTGGATAATCCCTTGCCTTTTCCAACAATGGGTTCCTTCCAAGGCAATTCTGAATATAAGTCCCGCAAGACCAATTTCCTAGGTCCAAACGCATCTTGAGTCACTGATATCTACGCGAAACATAATTTTCTCTGTCCAATAGCATGTCATAATTTTGAATATCACTCTGCGTCCCCCTTCATCTTCCACCAGGGCCTGCTTTCTTACTTCAAACTAGAGGGCCCTGATCGGGTAACCGTGTTACAAGAGCTCGAGCGTCGACCTCGAGCTCGACTGATCGGTGACGAGATTCGCCATTTCGTGAAGAAAGAGCGCGAAGATGGGGTCGTGCCTAACGAAGGCGAGCTTGGCGATCGCATGCCACATGGCAGCGTCCGATTGGAGGTCTCGACGCTCCGAGCCAGCACGACTGACGGTAGAAAGTTTTACGTTTTTGGGACGAAGACGCTAGGATTAAGGACGGAATCTAAAGCCGGGAGGCTACTATGGATGGACGCGCTTCAAGCAGCGAAAATGAAGCACCTTCAATTGATGCGCATCTCGGCACAAGCTCCTTTGATAAACGATTCCAGGCTGGTTGCTGCGTCGACGCTGGCCATGGAGCCGCTAAGAGCGTACTTAGCGAGTATAAACGTGGGTGCGGAGGAGATCGCTAAGTGCGAGGAAATAGTGAGGCGTCAGGTGGTGTTCAGGCTGGAGAATAAACTGCGGGAGGAGCAGAAGCGGCGGTTGCAGCTTCTGCGGTTATTGAGGCAGCTTGAAGCGGATAAGGTTGAGCTGGAAACGGCCATGTTGGAGGAGACGAGGAACCAGGGTTACGCAGGCACCAGCGTCGTCATGAGTACGTCTCCCTGACTCCAATTCCGACCCCTATATGGCACTCTTTACTATCTCCCCCTCATCCTCTCATTCTCTAACTCCTCGGTCGATGTGACATGGTTTCTAGAGCCTCTTGTTCCCATTTTTTCCTCCCCTTTTGATTGTCTGTATCTATCTTCCGCTAGTTTCTTCTCCTTTCTTGATTCGTTCTCCCACTCAGCCTCTCATCCTGGAACTCCTCGGTAAATGTGACTTGAACATGGGTTTGGGCGATTCTTCCTTCCCGTTTTTTTCTCCTATTCTGATTGTTTATTTCCTTTATCTCCCGTTCCCATTTTCTGTTTCCGTTTTTTTAGTTCGTTTCCTCCTCTCATCATTTCTCTCCTTTCTTCCTCGACCACCCTTTTTCTTCCCCTATGTTCCTGACCTGCACAGCTGGCGATGGTGATGATGCCAGCACGACCTTTGATGAGGACGAAGAGGAGGAGGATGACGAAGAGGATGAAGACGAAGAGGCGGAAGGGGAGGAGGAGAAATCTGGAGGTGATCAGGAGGCTGACAGCAGCGCCGTAACCACAGCAGGCCACGGGTTGTTGAAGCGCAGTGGGAGCGACCTCAGGTCGAGGCAGATTGGTAGCAGCGGCCGCAGGTCCAGGAGGTCTCGGAGCAAGGCTCGGCGCGCTGTCAAGGCTGAAGTGTTGGCTCGGGACAATGACGAGGACGAAGGAGGGCCGGGCAGCGGCGGGGAGGATGACGAGTTTTTCGAAGCCATGGATGATTTTGTTAGCTCTGGAAGTGTGCTGACTGTGCTGGATATTCAGGAGGTACGTGGGAGTGGTATGGGATAGGGCTTGTAAGGCATGATTATGTATTGTATCCTCTGAGATGTGGGAGGAGATGGTGTGGTAGCGCATGAGCTACTGTGCGATTCAAGGCAGGAGGATGAATGATTGGAGCCATAAACGGCTTTGTCAGCTTGAAAAGTGTGTGATGACGGTCAGTGAGCAGCTTGTCGATCCTCCTGGACCTGGCGGGCAAGGGCCTGTTCAAGGTGTCTGCTTCTTCGTTACCTTGCTTTCTCCCCTTCAACCCCCTCAATCCCCAACCACCCACCAGGTGGGGTTCACGTACCCCAAGATACCTCGCAGGGAGCGCCTGCCTTCCCCAGCGGAGGAGGAGAAGCCAGTGAGCATCTGGTCGATTCTCAAGGACCTCGTGGGCAAGGACCTCAAGGTGTCTCTGCTTCTCTCTTCTGCGTTTCCTTCCCCGTCCTTACCCCTTACCACCCACCAGGTGGGGTTCATGTACCCCAAAGTACCTCGCAGGGAGCGCCTGCCTCCCCCAGCAGAGGAGGAGAAGCCAGTCAGCATCTGGTCGATTCTCAAGGACCTCGTGGGCAAGGATCTCTTAAAGGTGTCTCTGCTTCTCTCTTCTGCGTTTCCTTCCCCGTCCTTTACCCCGAACCACCCACCAGGTGGGGTTCACGCCAAGGTACCTCGCAGTGAGCGCCTGCCTCCCCCAGCGGAGGAGGAGAAGCCAGTGAGCATCTCTGGTCGATTTTCAAGGACCTCGTGGGCAAGGACCTCTTCAAGGTGCCTCTGCTTCTCTCTTCTCCCTTTCCTTCCCCTCTCCAACCACCCACCAGGTGGGATTCACGTACCCCAAGATACCTCGCAGGGAGCGTCTGCCTCCCCCAGCAGAAGAGGAGAAACCGGTCAGCATCTGGTCAATTCTCAAGGACCTGGTGGGCAAGGACTTGTTCAAGGTGTCGCTGCCCGTGAGCTTCAACGAGCCCATCAGCACCAACCAGAAGTACTGCGAGACATACGAGTACAGCTGGCTGCTCGACCGGGCAGCAGAATACGGCCGCCGGGTGAGTGGTGGATAGACTGCAAGGGAAACGGTAGGAGTAGAGTGGTACTTGCAGCGAATGTGCCTGTGAGCTTCAACGATCCCATCAGCACCAACCAGAAGTACTGCAAGACGTACGAGTACAGCTGGCTGCTCGACCGCGCCGCTGAGTACGGCCGCCGGGTGAGTGCATAGCTTGCTTGCTACTTGCTGCTTCCTGCTTCTTTTGCTTGCCGCTTGTTTGCCGCTTGCTTAGATCGAGCAGCAAAATCGGCCGTCGGGTGAGTGGGCATAGTCGATATAGTGTGCGTCCTGCCTTTTGTTGATGCCCCTCAGAACATTTCTGCTTGGTATTGCTCTGGTAAAGATTCCATTAGTCAAGCAGCAGAGTATGGGCGGTGGCAGCGTTCGCACGGCTCTGAGTCATCACCCTTCCCTCCTCTCTTTCCTTCCACTCTACCAACTCCATTCCCCGGCTTCAATAACCAGGGCAACAAGCTAATGAGGGCAGTGCACGTGGCAGCGTTCGCAGTGTCACGCTACTCGGGCAACGCTGGTCGCATGCACAAGCCCTTCAACCCGCTGCTGGGAGAGACGTTTGAGGCCGACTGCCCCGACAAGGGCTTCCGATACGTCTCCGAGGCGGTGAGTTGTTTTCTTGCATCTCGTAGTTGGCCCTTAGCATCTCAGAGGCACACCACAACACCCCAAAAGAAACAGGAAAAGTTGCGCTATGGAAGCATGCACGAGCGCTTCAAACCGTTGCTTGGGCTTGGGAAAAGCGTTTGACTCTGGCCGATTGACAAGGGCTTCCAATACGTCTCAGAGGCGGTGAGTAGTAGCATTACATCTCGGAGTCGTTCTGTTCTGTTGCATCTTCGAGTGGCTTTGTTGCATCCCAGAACTGTCTGGTTACAGCTTAGAGGCAGCCATTGCACCCGTTCAACCGTCCAACCGTCCTCACTCGTGACCCTGCCCTTGCCCCGCCGGTCTCCCCTTTTGTTCCTACCGTCCCCCGCCTCCTCCCCCCTCAGGTGCTCCACTATCCCCCCACGCTGGCGTGGAACTGTGAGGGCACGGGGTGGCGCAGCTGGGGGGACGCGTGCCTCAAGGTGCGCTTCTGGGGGCCGTCCGTGAAGCTCGACCCAACCCTTCCCCCTACATCCAATCCCCAAACCCCCCCACACACACCCGCACCACAAACAGGTGTTGCATTACCCCCCCACCCTAGCGTGGAACTGTGAGGGCACGGGGTGGCGCAGCTGGGGGGACGCGTGCCTCAAGGTGCGCTTCTGGGGGCCGTCCGTGAAGCTCGACCCAACCCTTCCCCCTACATCCAATCCCCAAACCCCCCCACACACACCCGCACCACAAACAGGTGTTGCATTACCCCCCCACCCTAGCGTGGAACTGTGAGGGCACGGGGTGGCGCAGCTGGGGGGACGCGTGCCTCAAGGTGCGCTTCTGGGGGCCGTCCGTGAAGCTCGACCCAACCCTTCCCCCTACATCCAATCCCCAAACCCCCCCACACACACCCGCACCACAAACAGGTGTTGCATTACCCCCCCACCCTAGCGTGGAACTGTGAGGGCACGGGGTGGCGCAGCTGGGGGGACGCGTGCCTCAAGGTGCGCTTCTGGGGGCCGTCCGTGCAGCTGGACCCCGTCGGCGTGCTCTCCGTCGCCTTCGATGACGGGGAGGTCTTTGAGTGGAGCAACGTGACGGTGTCCATTCAGAACCTGATTCTCGGGAAGCCTTTTGTGGACCATTATGGCACGATGCGGATCCGGGGGAACCGGGGGTTCTCGGCAAGGCTGCGGTTCAAAGAGCGGTCGACCTTCGACCGGAATCCCCATCAGGTATGTGTGTGTATCTCCATCAGGTGTGTGCGTGTGTGGGGGGGGGGGGGCTGGGGGATGGGTTTCCCCAGGTAGGTGAGTTTGTGTTTGAGTGGAGCAACATGACAGTGTCCATTCAGAACCTGATTCTGGGGAAGCCGTTTGTGGACCACTACGGGACGATGAGGATTCGAGGGAACCGGGGGTTTTCTGCGCGGCCGCGGTTCAAAGAGAACTCCAATTTTGACCGGAATCCTCATCAGGTTCGCGCTTGTGTGTGGGTGTTTGTGGGTTTCCCAGGAAGGTGAGTTTGTGTTTGAGTGGAGCAACGTGACAGTGCCCATTCAGAACCTGATTCTCAGGAAGCAGTTTGTGGATCATTATGGGACGTTGCGGATCCGGGGGAACCGGGGGTTTTCGGCGCGGCTGAGGTTCAAGGAACGGTCGACTTTCAACCGAAATCCCCATCAGGTACGTCTGTGTGTGTGTGGGTTTTACCAGGTAGATAGATGCCTTTTGAGTGGCGCAACGTGACTGCTTCACTTCGTAACAAGGAAGCTCAGCAGCAAATTCGCACAAGGAGGAGTGCGAGGTGCTGGCCACAACACAGCCCCAGCACTATCCTTGCCCCCCTCCACCCTGCCCTACCGTCTTCCCCGCTCCTCCCTGATCACACCCACACCATGTCCGGGCCACCGTGCAGAGCGACGACGGGGAGGAGAAGGTGTGGTGACTCGTATCGGGCGGTTTGACCAGTTCCTGCACTTTGTGTCAGGGGAGCTCAGCAGCAGGTCTCAGAAGCAGGAGAGCGAGGTGCTGGCCACGGCACATCCCCAACCGTATTCTTGCCGCCTCCCCCCCACGCCTTATCCTCTCCCCTGCCCCTCCCTGCTGCTCCACAATGCAGGTTCCGGGCATTGTTTCATAGCGACAATGGGGAGGAAAAAGCAACCCTCGTGGGGAGGTGGGACTAGTTCCTGCATTTTGTGCCGGGGGAGCTCAGCAGCAAGTCGCAGACGGAGGAGGCCACGGCTCAGCTGCAACCCTCACAACCCCCCACCTTTCCCTGCCTTACACCTTCGTTCACAATGCAGGTCCGAGGCATTGTTCAAAGTGACGACGGGGAGGAGAAGGCGACTCTTGTCGGGAGGTGGGATCAGTTCCTGCACTTTGTGCTGGGGGAGCTCAGCAGCAAGTCCCAGAAGGAGGAGAGCGAGGTGCTGGCCACGGCGCAGCTGCTGTGGCAGAAGTGCGCCCCCTCGCCCTTCCCCTGCCTTATCCTCTCCCGTGCTCCTCTCTCCCTTTCCCTCTCCTCCACTCCTCCCTGCTGCCATCGGCTTGCTCACAATGCAGGTCAGGGGCATCGTGCAGAGTGATGACGGGGAACAAAAGGCTACTCTCGTGGGGCGGTGGGATCAGTTCCTGCACTTTGTGCCGGGGGAGCTCAGCAGCAAGTCCCAGAAGGAGGAGAGCGAGGTGCTGGCCACGGCTCAGCTGCTGTGGCAGAAGTGCGCCCCCTCGCCCTTCCCCTGCAAGTACAAGTTCACGCCCTTCTGCATCACCCTCAACGAGATGACTCCGGGGCTCAAGGTGAGTGCGGGGCTGCTCTTCAGTTTCTCGTTTCTCAATTCGGTATAGAGCTCGTGAACTGATGCCCGAGTCTAGTCATGAGGCATCAGAAGTGCGCCCCCTCCCCCTTCCTCTGCAACTACAAGTTCACGCCCTTCTGCATCACCCTCAACGAGATGACTCCGGGGCTCAAGGTGCGACTCTCTTTCGATTATCTTTTATTGACGAGGTAGTAGGCGCCTCAGAAAAAGTACGAGGTGTTGGGCGCCTACAATGAATGCGATCACTCGGAGTCTCAGGGTGCTCAAAGACTGCTTTCTGCCTTTTCCTTCTTTTCTTTTCCCATCGCAGGAGCACCTCCCCCCTACCGATTCTCGCCTGAGGGCAGATCAACGGGCGTTGGAGGAGGGGTACTATGATCGGGCGATTCAGGAAAAGTCACGCCTGGAACAGAAGCAGCGCAAGGTGAGAAGGGGTTGGGAGTTTGGTGTTAGATGTGATTGTGCTGTGTTGAGGCGCACATCAAGCCTAGGGGTGTGGCTGTCCTTTGTGGCGCATAGAGAGGGGTGCAAGTGAAGTGAGAATGCAGTGTGGACAAGGGGTAACACAATCACGGAATTCAGGAAGAGTCAGGGCTGGAGCAGAAGCTGCGCAATATCTCGTACTCCTCACCATCCCCCTTGCATTCTCTCTCTTTCCAAAGAACATGCCCTGTCACTGCCAGATCAGTGTCTTGTCCCTCCAAGATCTACCTCACCTGCATCCCTCCCCCTTATGAAATCCTTATTTTTTCCTGCAGGCCCTGAAATCAGGCGAGCCGGGGTGGCACCCGCGGTGGTTCCAGCAGCAAGGGGGACCGGGGAGCACGTGGACGTACGTGGGGGGATACTGGGAGCGGCGAGGGGCGCATGATTGGTCGGGAATCAAGGATATCTTTGCGGACGATGAAGAGGAGCAGCGGCAGAAGGAGCAGCGGGAGAAGGAGCAAAAGGAAAAGGATCAGAGGGAAAGGGATCTGAAGGAGAAGGAACAGAGGGAGAAGGAGCAGAGGGAGAAGGAACAGAGGGATAGGGAGGTGAGGGAGAAGGAGCAGCAGCAGGAGAAAGAGCAGCGACAGAGAGAGCAACAGCAGAAGGAACAGCTGAAGTTGCAGCAGCAGCAGCAGCAGAAAGAGCACCAGAAGGAGCAGTTACAGGAACAGAAAAACCAGCAGCACCAGGAACCAAAACAGAAACCTCAAGAGAAGGAGAAGAAGCACAAAGAGCATAAACAGAAGCAGCAGCAGAAACAGCAGCAGCAGCAGCCGCTGGTGCAGGAGCAGGAGTCGAGTGCGGAAAAGCAGCAGCAACAGCAGCAAGAGAAGGTGGTCCATGTGAAAAAACCACATTCACACACAGGGGCACCAGGAGCAAGCAAGAAGAGTGAAGTGCGTAAGGCGGAAGGGAAGCAGCCTATTTCGTAAATACTTGAGCAGTGTGAGTAGTGCGTGTGTTGCCAACTAGCGCATGCTCTTCCGAATCCAAGCATCGCAAATGCAACTTTCTCACTGTTCCAGTCCCTTCTGGTATTTGTCTTGTTCCTCTGGCCCATTGAATTGTTCAGCCACCAGTTGTGTGGCTGGGCAATTGTGTCTGGTCTGGGCTGCTATCAGTAGCTTAGCAACTTGAGTAAATTGCTATAGGTGTTCACCCCGCACGCGTTGTGTGGTAATGATATGAGTCGGTAACATGGTGGCTAATCGACGGAAAAGCAATAACCTTTGAAACTACGATGTAAGCGTCTGTAGATGTCTCACTTATACCGTAATGGCTGTCAGTCAGTTTCAGACATGGGTGTACAGCAGCATGTATTTCAGCGCAGGAGGTGCCACATATATCCGAGATGTGATGATTCCAGGATACTTGCTTTAAGCATCTATTTTTTTCAGTGCAGGCAGTTCAATCAATGCTTTTCACTACGGTATGTACAGAATTGATAACCAAAATGACTGTAACAGTAGCTGCTAATGTGCAGCACCACTATACTACTGTGCCACATTATCTGCAATGGCGGATTCGGATGCTGGAACTGTAGCTTCCAACACACCTGCCAGCACACCTGCCAACACACCTGCCAACACACCTGCCAACACACCTGCCAACACACCTGCCAATACACCTGCCAACACACCTGCCAGCATTGCTAGCAAGAGCAATGGCAGCACATCAGTCAGTACTGCTGGAACTGGCAGGTAGATCAGCAGCTGCTGCAGCAGGAGAAGAAGGGAGGCCAAGAGAAGCAGCACAAGCAGCAACGGTGGCAGCACAAGCAGCAACGGTGGCAGCACCACTTCCTCTAGCATCTGCAGCACCACCAGCACTGCTGCTGTCATCATCAGCAAATATGTCCGGAATGCCCTGCTAGTTACTAACCGTCTGCCATTTGAGTCAACCCAAAAGCAGCAGCAGCAGCAGCACTAGCACCAGCAACACCACTGGCACCAGCACTACTGCTGCCATCATCAGCAAATATGTCAGGAATGCCATACCAGTCCCTGGTTGCCCGCCTCTCCCAGTACCCTCCCTTGTACGTCCAGGTGCCGCCAGGTGCCTTCTGTTGAAACCACCTGGGCTCCCAGCCTAACGCCTGCACCTGCCGCGCCTGCCATGACAACAGTACGATGGAGGTGGAAGTACTAAGCCTTCAAGCCTACTCTCTACTTGCACTAAGCTACTGTTACACACACAAAGTTCACACATCCCCTCGTTCGTATACCCCTCACCCGACCCCTCCATTGCCCTTTGACTCGCATTCCCCTCAAATCGCTACCCCCCTGTTCACTCAATCCCTTCCCCCAGCCCACCTTGCGTTGCTTCCCCTCCAGCTGCCATTTCTCCTCGTTCGCCCGCGCCTCATCCCCCTCCTCTAAGGCCCTCTGGTCCCCCAGCCCACCAGCCGCTACACCCATCCATTCTCTTCACTCATTCACCCCTGTACACCCACTCCCTTCCCCCAGCCCACCTTGCGTTGCTTCCCCTCCAGCCGCCGTTTCTCCTCGTTCGCCCGCGCCTCATCCCCCTCCTCCAGCGCCCTCTGGTCCGGGCGAAAGCGCGAGTCCGTGGGGGGGAGGAACGGCTGCAAGTAAGGGGCGAAAGAGATGTTTTGAAATAGCACATGCCGCAAAAGAGGGGTGGGGGTAAGAGGGGGAAGACACGCCATGTGCGCTGTCTCGTCTATTCATGAACCGTCACAATCCATTCATTCCTGAAATCCCGTGTTTACTTTCCACTAAACTCACGCTTTCTTCATTTCTGTTTCTATTCCATATATCCCCTCTTTCTTCATTTCTGTTTCTATTCCATATATCCCCTCTTTCTTCATTTCCCTCTTTCTGTCCCCTTTCCCTTTCTGTTTATCACCTTCCTCCAGCACACCTTCCCTTGCTCTGCCTACCCTGCATTCGTTCCCCACCGTACCTCGCGTTGCTTCCCTTGCGAGTGTTGAAGTTTCTTGCAAGGTTAACCGTGCGGGACATCTTCCCACTGTGGCGAATAATGCGGGTTGGTTTTCTGTCACACGCGTTCTGAGGACAGAGGAGCCATAGGAGACTGAGAGGATAATGTCTCTGGTGGAAGGTTACTTGATTTGATGGAATAAGATGTGACGTATCCATCCACCAGAGATATCATCATCTCAGTCCCTTTTGGCTCCTCTATCTTCAAAACACGTGTGACAGAAGGCCAACCCGCAACATCTGCCACAATGGGAAGCCATCCCGCACGTAAACCGTCCTTTCAACTCTCGCTTTTTTCATTCTGTTCCTGAGATTCCATCAATCCACCTGCTCTTCCTGAACCCTCAATCAATCCTGTTACTGGAATCTAACTCGGCCTAATCTGTTTACCACCTCCCTCAACCTCTCGTGCTACGACCAGACACAGCCAACTCCTATGAGACCCCTTACCACTCACGGTAATATCTGACGTGATCTCAAGGAGTGAGACACAAAAGGGCGAGAAGTGGTGCTCAGATGCCCAGGTGGGTGCTCAACTCCCCTGAAAGACGACCCAACCCAGCCGCTGTGAAACCCGTTGCCACTCACCGCTATATCTGGCGTGATCTCATTGAGTGTGACACAAAAGAGCGAGAAGTTGTACTTGTTGCTGCCACGCTGCTGCAGCTGCTGCTGCTGCTGCTGCTGCTGCTGCTGCTCCACATGATGGTGATGGTGGTGAGGGTGATGAGTCGAGGATATGGTGGCCTTATGCCACAGTGAATGAGGTGCTGGTCGGGAAAATGGATGCTCGGGTGGGTGCTCAAATGGGTGCTCAGGTGGGTGCTCAGATGGGTGCTCAGATGGGTGCTCAGGTGGGTGCTCAGATGGGTGTTCAGGAGGTGGCCGAGGTGGGTGCTCTGGCAGGTGCTCAGGTGGTTCCTCAGGTGGTCTTGCTACTGGGTTTCGAGCATCCCTCTCATCACCGTCCCCACGATTCGACTCATCCAAGTCACTGTCACCCACACCAGGCCCAAAAGACACCTCCCCCAAGTGCGGCCTCCCCACAGCAGCGGCCCTGCGTGTTGCAAGATACCCTTCCCCAGTCCCGATTGCACCTTGCTGCCTCGCTACCTCCCTTTCAACTCGGTGTGTGCCTTGCTGGTTGACTTGCTGATTATCCTGCTGCTTGCACTGCTGCCTTCTTTGTTGCGTGCAGTGCTGCATGCCGTGGTGAGTGAGGGTGAAGGTCAGTTGCTGGTCCCACCGGCCGTGCAGCATTGCCAGCTTCTCCCCCCGCTCGTTCTGCACGTGCCCGTGCACCTGGTGCACCGGGTGGAGAGGAGGGCATATTGACGAGAGCAGTAAGGGGATGAAGATGGATCATAGCAGGGGATACAAAGATTCTAGTGGATACAACAAACGTGCAGCATTGCCAGGTTCTCCCCCTGCTCGTCCTCCGCGTGCCCGTGCACCTGGTGACACAGGGAGGGGTGGGGGTTGAGGGGGGAAAGGGGGGCGGTGCAAGCAATGGGGGTTAGATAGGGGAGAATGCACACACGCATGCAGACTACACATTACACAACGCTTCACTCGCCTGGTGCTTGCTGCGGTCGAACAGCAACGGCTGCTTCAAGTGCAGATGCACTGAAAGGCCCCGGCTGCCCCAATGTGCATCAAGCCCACCTCATCCCCATGGCCTCAACTCACCTGGTGCTTGCTGCGGTCGAAGAGTGACGGCTCCTTGAAGTGCAGATGCACCGACAATCCCCGGCTGCCTCGGATGTGCATAGTGCCGAAGTGCTCCACTTGAAGCTTCCCCACTATTATGTTGTATATGCCTGTCGTCACCTTGCTCCACTCGTACCGCTCCCCACCCCCTCCAACTCCCAACGATGTAAAAAAACTCTCCTTGTTGCCACTATTGCTTTGCTTAATCTCCTCCTCTTCATCCCTCTCCTCCCCCACCGTGTCCCCAGCTCCTCCCTCCTCCTTCGCCTCCCCGCCACCTCCCTCTCTTGCTCCCCCCTCCTCCCCCCTCTCTCCATCATCATCAAATACCACAGAGATCACTCCACACGGCACCAGGTGCATGGACGGCCCCCAGAACCGCACCTTGAGTGTTGAGTCTCCAAACAGCTGCCACCCGTTGCCCCAGCAGTGTGCTGCAACGGTTGGCGGATGGTTCAGAACCTGTTAGGGGGGAAGGGGAAGAGAGGGGGAGGGGAAAGAGAGGGGGATGGGAAAGAGAGGGGGAGGAGAAAGAGAGGAGGAAGGGCAAAAGGGGAGGAAAAGGGAGGAGGAAACAAGGGGGGGGATGGAAATGACACCACAAGGCACCAAAAGCTGCATTGACGCCCACCAGAGAAACCACCCACTCACCTTCTCTGCCAGCAGCTTAAAGCCCTTCTCAGAGTAATCGTCCTCGTAGGTCTCTCCCCCAGCAGAAAGCGGTCGCCTTTGGGATGGCCCGACACTCCCAAGGCGCGAGGCCTTCCTTCCCCAAACCACCCACCTTCTCTGCGAGCAGCTTAAAGCCCTTGACGGGGTAATTCGCCTCGTAGGTCTCCCCCAGCAGCGGGTTGAATTGAAGGGCTTGTGCATGCGCGCACTCGTGTTGGCATAGCCTGACATGGCGAACGTGGGGCATACGAGCAGCACTGCAAGCAGCTGCCAATGCCTACCTTTTCCGCCAGCAGCTTGAAACCCTTGTCCGGGTAGTTAGCCTCATAAGTTTCCCCCAGCAGCGGGTTGAAGGGCTTGTGCATGCGACCGCTCGTGTTGGCATAGCCTGACATGGCAAAGGCTGCCACGTGGAGGGCTCTCATTAGCTGATCGCCCTGGATAGGAAGCAGTAGGGAACACACGGTGGGGGCAGGAGGGAGAGGGGACGTTTGAGACGACAGGGGAGGGGAATGTGTCCTTCACACAAATCTCCCTTTCGTGATAAAAGCAGTCGTTTGAGACATCTCTGTCCTAAGCAACAAGAGTTTGATGGAAATAAGGCCTCCGCAGCCCACCTGTTCGACTTCGACAGCTCTCTCCTTTCCATCCAGCGCTCCTTCAAACTTTTGAGACGACTCAAAAGTCAGCTCCTTCAATTTTCTGCCATCCTGCCATCCATACACTGCCGCCCACTCACTGGCACTCTGCCACCCACCTCCCTCACCCGCCCGCCTATTGACTCACCCGCCGCCCGTACTCTGCCGCCCAGTCCAGCAGCCAGCTGTACTCCATTTCCTCGGCGCACTTGTGCAGCAATCCGATTGGCTCGTTCAGCTGCACTGGCAGGCACACTCGGGACAAATCCCGCCCCACGCACTCGCGCAGCACCGCCCACAGCCCGCCGGCCAGGCTGCCCGGGCGGTTTTGCTTGTCTGGTAGTGGGAGGCGCGTGCGGCGTGGGACATAAAGGTAAGAAAAGCCGACCTGGAGTTGGGAAGGAGAGGGTGGGAAGTGTGGGGGGGAAGAGGTGGGGGTGGGGGGGAGGAAGGGTAGTGAGGGGGGGGGGGGGAGGGATTCCACATTCTCAACACGCGGAACAAACGCGTAAGAAAAGGGTGTGAAGAGTGGGGGGCAAGATTAGGGCTGAAGGGGGAAACGGAGTGGAAAACTCACATCACATATCAACCCAGAATGACCGGAGCGTAACACGAATTTGATCTACTCGGAGCATAACACGAATTTGATCTACTCGGAGCGTAACAGAATGTTACCTCATTCATGGGCAACTCCGCCTCTCCAACCCTCCCCCCTGTAGTAACCTGTTTTGAAACCTCTCAGAACAAATATTTTATTCAGAGGCTCAATCTAACCTCCCCTATTATTGAGAAAGTTACCTCATGCATTGGCAACTCGGCCTCTCCAACCCTTCCCCCTGCAACCATAGCCCCCTGCTGCCACGCTCCTCTCTCCCCTTCCCCCTCTGATACCGCCCCTCCTCCACCTCCTATTCCCCCGCCTCCTCCCCCCGCAACCCCGCCTCCGCCCCTCCCATACTTGAACTCCTCCCCCTGCTCCGCTTCCACTTCACTTCCCCCTTCACTCCCCCCTTCACTTCCACCTTCCTGTGATCCCTCCCCCTCCCCCACTATTCCATCCCACCCCTCTGACTCCCCTGCCAGCCTCTCTGCTGCCTCGAAGAACCTTTCCTCCCCCTCCTCCTCTTCATCGTCATCCTCATCTTTTTCTTCCTCTTCTTCCCAATCTTCTTCCTCCTTCCATCCCTCCGATTCTTCCTCCTCCTTTCCTTCACCATTCCCTCCCCTGCCAGTCCCTCTCCTCCGCCCCCTCCTCCTCTGCATGCGCAGCAGCTCCGACTCCAAAAGAGCTTTCTCAATCTACCATGCCATGCCATGCCATGCCATGCCATGCCATGCCATGCCATGCCATGCGGTGCCATGCCATGCCATGCGGTGCCATGCCATGCCATGCCATGCCATGGGATGCCATGCCATGCGGTGCCATGCGGTGCCATGCCATGCCATGCCATGCCGTGCCATGCCGTGCCATGCCATGCCATATCATGATATCACCACACCCGCATGCCAATACCACCGCACACGCATGCCATGTCAGCACATCCACATGCCCATGCACAGATGTTCAAATACACAGTTTAGAGCGAAGAATCAACAGCTTCGTTCATCGTGTATCCATCACAACAACAGAAGGACACGTGGTGGTAGTAAACTCCCTCCACATACCGCTTTTGAGTCGACTCAAAAGCTTTTGAGTCGACTCAAAAACAGAAGGACACGTGGTGGTGGTAAACTCCCTCCACATACCTCCAGCTGCTGCATCCTCGTTATAAGCTGCTCCTTTGCACGCCGCTCCCCCAGCAGCACCGGCGCCACCACCTGCCGCCAAACCACCTCCTTGCATCGCACGATGACATCATCGCTGACGGCAGCGGCCCTCAGAAAATCAACCATAGGCTGGACGGAACTGCGTGACACGGTCGGCTCTGTGCCCACGTCACCATGACCGCTTCTGATGTCATCGCCATCGTTACCACCAGTTGCAGCAGGTGTGGCAGCAGATAAAAGGGCAGGAGGCGGCATAGGAGAAAGAGAGGCAATCCCGAGGGAGGAGAGAGCAGGAGAGATCGGCTCAGCAGCAGCAGAAGCTGTGGGAGAGATAGCAGCAGAAGCTGTGGCCGCGGTATCCGCATCAGTGGCAGCAGCCAATCCAGCAGGCACAGGGAAAGAAAGCCTCGCAGCCTGCATTATGGAGCGATGGGAGGGAGGGGACACACATTCTAAGAGTCGTTAAGAAAGCCAGTCAGTCTAATGAGCATGCATCATCATCGCACGTACGAAGAAGCTTCTTTGATCATCATCATCATCATCATCATCATCATCATCATCATCATCATCATCATCATCATCATCATCATCATCATCATCATCATCATCATCATCATCATCATCATCATCATCATCATCATCATCATCATCATCATCATCATCATCATCATCATCATCATCATCATCATCATCATCATCATCATCATCTCTAGACTTTCTGACAGTCGAACATCCTTTGAAGAACAGCGATTCACTTCACATCCAAGGAAAAACCAGGAAAGGCTTTTGAGGGAGGCGCCTCAAAAGTTTTGAGGCGCCTCAAAAGAGGACTTTCAAACAGTTGAACATCCTTTGAAGAACAGCAGCACTTTACATCCAGGGAAAAACCAGGAAAGGGATTTGGCTGGTAGGTGCATGCGTGAATTCATGGGGTTCAAAACAAACCCAACCTTTAAAACTTGCAGCCAAATAGGGCTGTGAGGAAGGTTGGTTGGTGCATGCGTGACTTTGTGTGTGTGCGTCCATGCGTGCGTGCGTGCTTGCATGCATGCGTGCATGTTTTAAACACACCTCCATAGCCTGCAGCCAAAGAGAGCGGTCTTCTGCTGACTCAGCACACAGGATGAGCGTGCGCGCTGACGTGGCAAGATAGAACTTGGTGGGGTCGCTACGGCTGGGACGTAGAGAGGATATCTGGAGGGGCCGGGAGGGGGGGGGAGGAATGGGGGGGAGTGGAATCCAAACTTGAGATGTCTCAGAAATCGAACTTGGTGGGGTCCGTGGGGTTGGAGCGGCTGGGACGTAGAGAGGATATCTGGATGTGGCCGGGGAGAAGGAGGGGATGGGGGAGGAGAGGAGCAAAGAGGGTGGGAGAAGGAGGCGAGTGGGGGGGAGTATGGTGTGGGTTTGATATGAGTCTGAAGTGGATGTGAAGTGTGTATTAGTGTGAAGTGTGTGGGAGAGGCAAGCTTGGATCCATTCTTGAGTCGTCTCAGCACTTGACACACGGATTAAACTCCTTATCAGCAGCAACTCACTGCGTCAAAATCAATCACCCCTTGCAGCTCCTCTGCTTCAACCACAAAACGTCAGCAAGCGTCTTTTCAGATAAATCAAGAATCCTCAGCAACTCACCGCATCAAGCTCGATCACCCCTTGAGGCTCCTCTGTCTCAACCACAAACCCAACGCCCCTCGCGCCACTGTCACCCCACCCCCTGCCCCCTCCTTCCCTCATCCCCCTCCCCCTGCCAACCCTACCTTCTTCTCCTTCCCCTCCCATTTCTCCTTCCTCCCCCTCCCTCCTCCCCCCTCCATACCCACAGCTCTCCAGGGGACTGCGCCTAGGGGATGCCGCCAGGAGCTTTGAAACCGCGCCACTTAAAGCCCGGGGGGTGAGTGGGGGCGTTCGGAGAATGCTGGGAGTTCTCGGCTTTAACCGGCTGCTGTGGTGGTGGCGCTGGTGGGGGCTACGCTCATGCTCATGCTCATGCTGATGCAGGTGGAGGTGATGCTGACGGTGGTGGGGATGGTGGTAGTGGTGGGGGTGGGGGTGGCGGTGGTGGTGGCGGTGGTGGTGGGGGCTATGCTCCCATTCATTCCCACTGTAACGCTCGTCAACATAGCGAGCAGGTGAAAGTGGCCCCCTTTCGTGAATAGTAACCCTCTCGTCCCTCAATCCATACCCGACTGCTGCCTCCTGGACTTTCTCAGTTCACCCCTTTAACTCCTCCTCTTCCTCCTCTGCCTCCTCCTGCCGTCCCTTCTCACCTTCCTCCACCTGCTCCTCCCCATCTCCTTTCCCACCTTCCTCCTCATCCTCCGCATTCTCATCCCCCTCCTCGTCATCTCCTGACATTAGCAGCGTCTCTCTTTCAATCCCTTGGCATCTTAAACCCTCTCCCTTATCCCCACCCTCTCCCTCACCCCCATCCTCCTCACCCTCCTCCTCATCCCCCTCTTCATTCCCACCTTCTCCCATGTTCCCACCCTCCTCCTCCTCCTCTCCCTTGCACAAAACCCCTTCGTTATAGTCACCAACCAGGTCTGACACAGCCCTCCCTATAAGAGCCACGTGGTCGTACCGCTGCCGAAGCTTCCGGATCATTGCAGCTGTGGAGCTGCCTCGTAGCTTGAAGTAGAGCAGGTGGTGCTGGTGGCGTGGGGTGGGAAGACAGGGAGTGAGGAGGAGAGAGGGAGGGAGACAGTGAAGACAGGGAGTGAGGAGGAGAGAGGGAGGGAGACAGTGAAGACAGGGAGTGAGGAGGAGAGAGGGAGGGAGACAGTGAAGACAGGGAGTGAGGAGGAGAGAGGGAGGGAGACAGTGAAGACAGGGAGTGAGGAGGAGAGAGGGATGGAGACAGTGAAGACAGGGAGTGAGGAGGAGAAAGGGAATGACTACTCAATAACTTTTGGATCATTGCAGGCTGTGGAGCTGCCTCGAAGCTTGAATTGAAGGCGTGGGGTGTTCAGGAAAATAAAAAGGAAGGAAGGAAGGAAGGAAGGAAGGAAGGAAGGAAGGAAGGAAGGAAGGAAGGAAGGAAGGAAGGAAGGAAGGAAGGAAGGAAGGAAGGAAGGAAGGAAGGAAGGAAGGGAGAAGGGAGAAGGGAGAAGGGAGAAGGGAGAAGGGAGAAGGGAGAAGGGAGCAAAGGGGAGGGAACTGGGCGATGTGTGCACCCACTTGGATCAAACATCAACTATCACCTATTCTAATGCAAGAAAAAAAGGCTTCAAGAGCTAACATTCTTCCTTGACCCTTCCTGTCTGAGAAGGAAGAGCCTTAGCGCCCACCCCGGCCGATGTGCACCCACTTGGACAGAACAACCAGGACTATCACCTGACCAAACTCCTCTGAAATCCTTAAAAAGCCGACATTCTTGCCTTGACCCTTACCTGTCTGAGGAGGAAGAGCCTTGGCGCCCACCCCAGGCCGATGTGCACCCACTTGGACAACAATCACCTCACCGAACCCCTGTGAAAGTCTTTTAAATCGATTGCCTTGCCTCTACTTGCATCAGCGACCAGATCTGTTGACTGCAACTCACCTGTCTGAGGAGGAAGAGCCTTAGCGCCCATCCCCGGCCGATGTGCACCCACTTGGACAGCACTCCCACTGTCACTCTGCTCCCGTCCGCCACCTTCGGAGAAGCTTCCTCCCGCGCCGCACTTGCCGCCATTGACTCTATTGACTCCATTGACTCCCTGATGCTGGCAAAACACTTTCGAGAATTCGCAAACAGTGACTCAACAGTGACGCAACAGTGACTCAACTATATTGTTGTTCTCTGATCCTGACTGTTTGTGGGCTTCGTTAAAACGGCAGGGATTCAGTGGCCTGCCTGTCGCGCCTCCTGATGACCTGCAGTGCCGTATCTTCCTTTTCCTGTTTGTTGTTCTCCTGATGTGCACCGAGCTGCACCGATTTGAATCGGTCTACACTGATCCACTTTCCTCACTCGGCGATCGCCGCGCCCTGTGCGCCAAAAACTGTCCAACCGCGGTTCGTTTTGGCCTGTCGGTGGGCTCACGAGCAATCCAACACTACTACTTGCTTCCTCGCTCTTGTTGGACGCGCGTGTTTGGATTGGAGGCTGGAAACTTGCATGATCTCGAGCGCCCCGCAACCAACAACTCGACGCGGAAAGCCTCCGCAACGGATGACACTGGCGCGCGAAGAGGGCGCCGCGCGGAGGGGGGCGCGCCGAGAGGGGTGCGCCGAGGTTGCGCGGCGGAGAGGGCCGCGGAAGGGGGGTGCCAAGAGGGTCGTCGAAGGGTGATCGGTGGTGGAGAGGGAGCGTGGAGGGAGGGAAGAGCACGTGGGACGAGTGCTGGGTGATGGGTGCGGCGGAATGGGCTGGCGTAGGGGCGCACCACTGTGGGCACTGGGGCGCGCAGTGGGTCGGGGGAATACAGGCGCATGGTAGGACGCTGCTGAATGTGCGCAAGCTGCACGTAGGCGGAAACTCGACGCCCTCTGGGGGAGGGAGGGAAAAAGGAGGTGCAGGACAGGCGGAACTTGCGCACATGGGGAAATCTCCCCCCGCCACCCCCCCAAACAACGGATGCGGCACTTGTGGCATGATCCCCTCGTGTCCATCGCGTGGAGAATCCCGTGAAGACTGCCGAAGCGCCAAGAGAAGCAAGCTGTCAGGGTTGCGGATTATTGGCTGGCTGCGGAAGCAAGGTGTTCGACCAGACACGTCTGTCCTTGGAAATTGCGGCATGCGCGTTTTCCTGCTTGCACATGGAGTGCGCTCATGCTGGATCTGGTGTGTGCCGCTGGGGAGAAACGCGATATTGGAAAATTCGATACACAGCCCAAGCCGTTGTCCTTTGTCTTAGTAACGAAACCTAACAGTTTTGAAAACTTTGCTCCGTCCATCATGTTACCATGTATTATATATCTCTCGGCCTTTTTATGAAGTGCATACACTTCTCCCAGAACAAAAACTCACATGATGCGTATGCTCACTGCGTTGTTCTACGCCATTTCAACTGTACAACATAAGGTTGTACACGCGTGAAATTCTCTACACCTCATTCCTGTGGTCCTACAACTGAGGCGGCAATATCTTGGATGGTGAGAGGGCAGTGCCGAGCCGCATACTGAAACAGGATCTGCCAGGCAACACCGGAGGAAGGGAAACGTACAGGAAGAACAGCGCGATGTTTAAGTTTCACAAATGTATAAGGTGTATGGGTGGGCACTGGGCACACGCATCCCATCCCACCTCCCATGTCCCATGTCCCATGTCCCATGTCCCACTGTGACAAGATGATTCTTGAGTTGACTGGAGAATCAAATCCAATATTTCTTGCCCATACCGTAAAGCTTGGCATCCCTAGACCATCATCCTACTTAGGAGGAGCACCCATCCCACCCCATCTCCCTACCCTTACCCTTACCTCATACACTCGTGGCATGGCTGGCCATAACACTCGTGTGCACCTACGAGTGCAAATCCTACCTCACACGTCTCTTCCTCAACTCACACGTCCCTATCCCTCACTCAGTGAGTTGGGGCAGCCCCAACTCACACGTCCCTATCAGTGAGGGATAGGGACGTCCCTCCCTACCTCACTCAGTGGCATGCCCATCAGCCTCCTCGTGCCCACATTCGAGCAGCTACCAGCGACGCCTCGCCTCTGGTTGCTGTGCCCTGCAGCAGCAGGTCCGCCCCTACCCAGGAGCACACGTGTCCTCCCTCCCGCCTCCCAGAAGGTCCGCCTACACCACAAAGTAGCCATCCTATCCCATCCCACATCCGGTGATCAGCGGATATCACACCCCATAACCCTTCAAAGCACACCCTTAACTCTAACCCTAAGCCCTAACCCGCTTTGGAGCAGCTATCAGCGCCGCCTCTCCTCAGATGGGCTGCTCCCTGCAGCAGCAGGCCCGCCCCCACCACCCAGCACCAATCCCACATGCCCTGAACCGTACACCCACCTTGGAGCAGCTGTCAGCGCCGCCCCTCCTCTGGTTGGCAGCGCCCTGAAACAGCAGGTCTGCCCCCACCACCCGCCCCTGCTCCAGGTGCAACCCGCCCGGACCCACAGAGAAGCGCAGCAGCTTGTTGGGGCGCAGGTGCAGGGAGGGCTGGGGAGAGGGGGGTGGGGGTGAGAGAGCGAGAAAGGAGCACGGAGGGTAAAGAAGCATTGAGGCCACAGCACAGCACAGCACGCATCTGTGCAGCAGGTCCGCCCCCACCACCCGCCCCTGCTCCAGGTGCAGCCCGCCCGGACCTATGGCAAAGCGCAGCAGCTTGTTGGGTCGCAGGTGCAGTGAGGGCTGGAGAGAGGAACAGAAAGTGACAAGGAGCACGGAGCAGAAAGACGTATTTATGAGGGCACAGGACATGTGTGGTAGCAGCAGGTCCGCCCCCACCACTTTTGAGGCGCCTCAAAAATCTTTATGAGGGCACAGGACATGTGTGGTAGCAGCAGGTCCGCCCCCACCACTTTTGAGGCGCCTCAAAAATCTTTATGAGGGCACAGGACATGTGTGGTAGCAGCAGGTCCGCCCCCACCACTTTTGAGGCGCCTCAAAAATCTTTATGAGGGCACAGGACATGTGTGGTAGCAGCAGGTCCGCCCCCACCACTTTTGAGGCGCCTCAAAAATCTTTATGAGGGCACAGGACATGTGTGGTAGCAGCAGGTCCGCCCCCACCACTTTTGAGGCGCCTCAAAAATCTTTATGAGGGCACAGGACATGTGTGGTAGCAGCAGGTCCGCCCCCACCACTTTTGAGGCGCCTCAAAAATCTTTATGAGGGCACAGGACATGTGTGGTAGCAGCAGGTCCGCCCCCACCACTTTTGAGGCGCCTCAAAAATCTTTATGAGGGCACAGGACATGTGTGGTAGCAGCAGGTCCGCCCCCACCACTTTTGAGGCGCCTCAAAAATCTTTATGAGGGCACAGGACATGTGTGGTAGCAGCAGGTCCGCCCCCACCACTTCTGAGGCGCCTCAAAAATCTTTATGAGGGCACAGGACATGTGTGGTAGCAGCAGGTCCGCCCCCACCACTTTTGAGGCGCCTCAAAAATCTTTATGAGGGCACACGACATGTGTGGTAGCAGCAGGTCCGCCCCCACCACTTTTGAGGCGCCTCAAAAATCTTTATGAGGGCACACGACATGTGTGGTAGCAGCAGGTCCGCCCCCACCACTTTTGAGGCGCCTCAAAAATCTTTATGAGGGCACAGGACATGTGTGGTAGCAGCAGGTCCGCCCCCACCACTTTTGAGGCGCCTCAAAAATCTTTATGAGGGCACAGGACATGTGTGGTAGCAGCAGGTCCGCCCCCACCACTTTTGAGGCGCCTCAAAAATCTTTATGAGGGCACAGGACATGTGTGGTAGCAGCAGGTCCGCCCCCACCACTTTTGAGGCGCCTCAAAAATCTTTATGAGGGCACACGACATGTGTGGTAGCAGCAGGTCCGCCCCCACCACTTTTGAGGCGCCTCAAAAATCTTTATGAGGGCACACGACATGTGTGGTAGCAGCAGGTCCGCCCCCACCACTTTTGAGGCGCCTCAAAAATCTTTATGAGGGCACAGGACATGTGTGGTAGCAGCAGGTCCGCCCCCACCACTTTTGAGGCGCCTCAAAAATCTTTATGAGGGCACAGGACATGTGTGGTAGCAGCAGGTCCGCCCCCACCACTTTTGAGGCGCCTAAAAAATCTTTATGAGGGCACACGACATGTGTGGTAGCAGCAGGTCCGCCCCCACCACTTTTAAGGCGCCTCAAAAATCTTTATGAGGGCACAGGACATGTGTGGTAGCAGCAGGTCCGCCCCCACCACTTTTGAGGCGCCTCAAAAATCTTTATGAGGGCACAGGACATGTGTGGTAGCAGCAGGTCCGCCCCCACCACTTCTGAGGCGCCTCAAAAATCTTTATGAGGGCACAGGACATGTGTGGTAGCAGCAGGTCCGCCCCCACCACTTTTGAGGCGCCTCAAAAATCTTTATGAGGGCACACGACATGTGTGGTAGCAGCAGGTCCGCCCCCACCACTTTTGAGGCGCCTCAAAAATCTTTATGAGGGCACACGACATGTGTGGTAGCAGCAGGTCCGCCCCCACCACTTTTGAGGCGCCTCAAAAATCTTTATGAGGGCACACGACATGTGTGGTAGCAGCAGGTCCGCCCCCACCACTTTTGAGGCGCCTCAAAAATCTTTATGAGGGCACAGGACATGTGTGGTAGCAGCAGGTCCGCCCCCACCACTTTTGAGGCGCCTCAAAAATCTTTATGAGGGCACAGGACATGTGTGGTAGCAGCAGGTCCGCCCCCACCACTTTTGAGGCGCCTCAAAAATCTTTATGAGGGCACAGGACATGTGTGGTAGCAGCAGGTCCGCCCCCACCACTTTTGAGGCGCCTCAAAAATCTTTATGAGGGCACAGGACATGTGTGGTAGCAGCAGGTCCGCCCCCACCACTTTTGAGGCGCCTCAAAAATCTTTATGAGGGCACACGACATGTGTGGTAGCAGCAGGTCCGCCCCCACCACTTTTGAGGCGCCTCAAAAATCTTTATGAGGGCACAGGACATGTGTGGTAGCAGCAGGTCCGCCCCCACCACTTTTGAGGCGCCTCAAAAATCTTTATGAGGGCACAGGACATGTGTGGTAGCAGCAGGTCCGCCCCCACCACTTTTGAGGCGCCTAAAAAATCTTTATGAGGGCACACGACATGTGTGGTAGCAGCAGGTCCGCCCCCACCACTTTTAAGGCGCCTCAAAAATCTTTATGAGGGCACACGACATGTGTGGTAGCAGCAGGTCCGCCCCCACTAGTTTTGAGGCGCCTCAAAAATCTTTATGAGGGCACACGACATGTGTGGTAGCAGCAGGTCCGCCCCCACCACTTTTGAGGCGCCTCAAAAATCTTTATGAGGGCACAGGACATGTGTGGTAGCAGCAGGTCCGCCCCCACCACTTTTGAGGCGCCTCAAAAATCTTTATGAGGGCACACGACATGTGTGGTAGCAGCAGGTCCGCCCCCACCACTTTTGAGGCGCCTAAAAAATCTTTATGAGGGCACACGACATGTGTGGTAGCAGCAGGTCCGCCCCCACCACTTTTGAGGCGCCTCAAAAATCTTTATGAGGGCACAGGACATGTGTGGTAGCAGCAGGTCCGCCCCCACCACTTTTGAGGCGCCTCAAAAATCTTTATGAGGGCACAGGACATGTGTGGTAGCAGCAGGTCCGCCCCCACCACTTTTGAGGCGCCTCAAAAATCTTTATGAGGGCACACGACATGTGTGGTAGCAGCAGGTCCGCCCCCACCACTTTTGAGGCGCCTCAAAAATCTTTATGAGGGCACACGACATGTGTGGTAGCAGCAGGTCCGCCCCCGCTAGTTTTGAGGCGCCTCAAAAATCTTTATGAGGGCACACGACATGTGTGGTAGCAGCAGGTCCGCCCCCACCACTTTTGAGGCGCCTCAAAAATCTTCATGAGGGCACAGGACATGTGTGGTAGCAGCAGGTCCGCCCCCACCACTTTTGAGGCGCCTCAAAAATCTTGATGAGGGCACAGGACATGTGTGGTAGCAGCAGGTCCGCCCCCATCACTTTTGAGGCGCCTCAAAAATCTTTATGAGGGCACAGGACATGTGTGGTAGCAGCAGGTCCGCCCCCACCACTTTTGAGGCGCCTCAAAAATCTTTATGAGGGCACAGGACATGTGTGGTAGCAGCAGGTCCGCCCCCACCACTTTTGAGGCGCCTCAAAAATCTTTATGAGGGCACAGGACATGTGTGGTAGCAGCAGGTCCGCCCCCACCACTTTTGAGGCGCCTCAAAAATCTTTATGAGGGCACAGGACATGTGTGGTAGCAGCAGGTCCGCCCCCACCACTTTTGAGGCGCCTCAAAAATCTTTATGAGGGCACAGGACATGTGTGGTAGCAGCAGGTCCGCCCCCACCACTTTTGAGGCGCCTCAAAAATCTTTATGAGGGCACACGACATGTGTGGTAGCAGCAGGTCCGCCCCCACCACTTTTGAGGCGCCTCAAAAATCTTTATGAGGGCACACGACATGTGTGGTAGCAGCAGGTCCGCCCCCACCACTTTTGAGGCGCCTCAAAAATTTTATGAGGGCACAGGACATGTGTGGTAGCAGCAGGTCCGCCCCCACCACTTTTGAGGCGCCTCAAAAATCTTTATGAGGGCACAGGACATGTGTGGTAGCAGCAGGTCCGTCCCCACCACTTTTGAGGCGCCTCAAAAATCTTTATGAGGGCACAGGACATGTGTGGTAGCAGCAGGTCCGCCCCCACCACTTTTGAGGCGCCTCAAAAATCTTTATGAGGGCACAGGACATGTGTGGTAGCAGCAGGTCCGCCCCCACCACTTTTGAGGCGCCTCAAAAATCTTTATGAGGGCACAGGACATGTGTGGTAGCAGCAGGTCCGCCCCCACCACTTTTGAGGCGCCTCAAAAATCTTTATGAGGGCACACGACATGTGTGGTAGCAGCAGGTCCGCCCCCACCACTTTTGAGGCGCCTCAAAAATCTTTATGAGGGCACAGGACATGTGTGGTAGCAGCAGGTCCGCCCCCACCATTGAGGCGCCTCAAAAATCTTTATGAGGGCACAGGACATGTGTGGTAGCAGCAGGTCCGCCCCCACCACTTTTGAGGCGCCTCAAAAATCTTTATGAGGGCACAGGACATGTGTGGTAGCAGCAGGTCCGCCCCCACCACTTTTGAGGCGCCTCAAAAATCTTTATGAGGGCACAGGACATGTGTGGTAGCAGCAGGTCCGCCCCCATCACTTTTGAGGCGCCTCAAAAATCTTTATGAGGGCACAGGACATGTGTGGTAGCAGCAGGTCCGCCCCCACCACTTTTGAGGCGCCTCAAAAATCTGTATGAGGGCACAGGACATGTGTGGTAGCAGCAGGTCCGCCCCCACCACTTTTGAGGCGCCTCAAAAATCTTTATGAGGGCACACGACATGTGTGGTAGCAGCAGGTCCGCCCCCACCATTGAGGCGCCTCAAAAATCTTTATGAGGGCACAGGACATGTGTGGTAGCAGCAGGTCCGCCCCCACCACTTTTGAGGCGCCTCAAAAATCTTTATGAGG